GTCTCAGGCCTTGGCAGCACCAACACCCTGGGTGTGCCTACACAGCCTGCACCTGCACAAGTTAGAGCATCAAGAAGAGATTCCTGACCTGGCTCCACATCTGCTAGTGTAACACTTCAGCTACACCAGTTACAGCCGGACTACTGACACAAATCAAATGCTTCTCCCGTGGAGCTTCCCAAGCCAAAGCTGGACTCTGTGGTACAGGAATACCCACTCCAACCCATTTCCTTCTCTACTAGCTGCTGCCTCTGTTTCTTACCTGGTTTTGCTGCGCATGTTCCAACAAACTCTCTGTTGCAATACCAGGAAAAGTTCGTTTTTGTGAACTTCCCCCAGATCTCTGAAAAATTCAAGCCAGGACCTTAAAATGGTATGATTAACTTAAAACAATACACAGTCTTTAAGGAAAAGCCCTTGTGTTTCTGGATTCTAAGCCTTTGGGCTTTAAAAATTTTCCCCATAAGCAGAAAGATTGTGCAGACTAGCTCCTTACTTTAAGTTTCAACAAAAGTCACATAATATTGCAACTATAAGGAAAAAACAGCAAACATCAAAAGTTGTGTGATAAGCTGCTAGTTTATCACATGTGTGCAAAAAACAGCAAAGCATGAGATTCTGGGGTCTCTGGAGTGCTAAGTCATCAAAACAGGACAGTGTCTTTAACAAGAGGGTCCCACCAATAGTGTCCTCATATAAGCTTTGTAGTACATGCAATATGTACCAGAATTTTTTAAAAGATTCAAAAAGGATTCTCAGGAGCGGAAGGGAAATCTGTGGAGCATTCAGCATCGTTTTGAACATAACATTCACAATACCCCTTGGCAGTACGGCACTGCCTCACCTCCTCCTCCCCCAACTGCCAAACCACAGAGGGATGGGGAATGAGTGCGGAAAGGGTCACCAGCAGTTTTTCCAAGAATGGAGGTTAACTGTAACTAGAGCTTATCCCATGCTGAGTAGCTATATGTCAGTTATACATGAAGCTAAGGTTTTCTATTCTTATTTTGTCTCAAAATAAGAAGTTTTTAAAAAATCTGGACATTTCTGCATTTCATTTGAAAAATGTGCCTTGCTACATCTACAACAGTAGCATTGTGTGGCCCCGCTTACCGTTTAAGATGTATAAATGCATGGAAAATGATCCCTAGAACAGATTTTTCAGGCTACTTTCAAGATTATCTATATTCCCATTAGGCTCAATTAATCCAAATAGACTATATCTGATTTCAGACTGAGGCAGGCTTTTGTTCAAGATACACTGTTACACTTCCTGACCAGCAACAGGAAACAACTTTCAAGACTACCATTTAAAAATATGTCCCTCTCAAAAATTTTTTACCTTTTTTGAGATCCAAACTGAAATGGACTTTTATGTTTCTCCTTTGTCCTGATGCAATTAAAGTTTTTCTTCTCCACGAAAGCAAGCTTACTGTGACAGGGCAAACAAGGAACGGTACCAAGATCCCAAAAACCTTTAAGTATTGTAAGGACAAATGAAAGGCTCTGGTCCAAGTTTTGACTTCTAGTTCCTGCACCGTGTTATCACCCTTTGCGAGACTATTGAAACTCTACAGCTCAGTCACAACAGAGAGGTTTTATTCAGAAGGGCAGGTTTATTTATGGAGTAGTCAGGCCAAAGCTGAAGTCAGAGTCCCAGAAATTTTCTCCATGTAGAAACGAGCATAGATAGGAACAAGGTTCAGTACAATACCCCTTGACCTGCTAGAGCTTCACAGAGACACCAGGGAGACAAGCAACAGAAGGTCCTTCCCTCAGTTCTTTGGCAGCATCAGCACCGGCATATACTTCTCCCATAACTGGAGGTGGCACACTCCTACATTGTGCTTGGAGGACACAAGGCAAGAGGCTAGTACACCTTAGGCTGCGATGGCCCAAAAATGCAGTGCTTCTTATGACAAAGATCCAAACTGAAGGCAAAAGTTAACTCATGTAAAAATCCTAAAATGCTCTGTGAATGACTCTTTTCCTGTAAAGAATCTTACCATTATTTCACATTCACTAAATGAGTTATTTTCATCACAAATGTGTACTAGTAAGAAGCAAGATGATGCTAAATTAGCATGGATTGGAGGATATCTGAGACAAAAATGAACGATAGCCCTGAACAGAAAGGCAAATTTGGTGCTTGTCATTAAAAGTGCAATCGATTGAATTCAGTTTCTGTGTCAGAATCACCGCTAGAAATTCATTATTCATACCTGTAACATCTAATATTCATGAGCCTACCAACAGAGCACTTTGGACAGTTTCCAATGTTTGTTCCTTTAAAACATTCACATGGGAATCCTGACATATCGTAAGTTCTCTTGCAGTGATATCCCGACAAATGACAATTCACAGAAGTTGCAGTCCTTTTAGCTGGCTTGGAAATCTGGCAGCTACAGATCATGAAACATAACAGTCAAGTATTGAGACAACTGATAAGTCTCCTGGCTTTTCAAAAGATTGGGAGTCACTGTGGCCTTCAGACACTTCTCCATGGCTCAATGCCAGCTGTAGGCCAGTCAAGCGAGTATCACTGTTGGTCTAGTAGTGCCTGAGAACAGAGGAATTATGAGCTCCCAGTATATTCCACTCCTGATGTTTCTCAAGTAATTACAACCAAAAGTTCCCATGGATGCCTTGACATTTCCTCCATACTGTAGCATTTTAGTTAATTGGGGTTTTTTTCCTGATGATGGATAACTTTTATATCTGAGCCTCATCTGAGGTTTGCTTTGCTTGTTAGGGAACTTAGAGTGAAATACTGTGGGACATTATTCAGATTTCAAAAGAGTATTTTCTACTCTTCTACTTCCAACTTCAGCTTCACATTAGCAAATTTCCCTGGCTGTGTAATAATTTCTTACTGACCATGAAAACATCGTATGTGACGCACATTCAAAAAACCCAGGCACAGATGGTAGTCACTACTCCATGTGTCACTTACAATCAGAAAAGCCAAAGTTTAGAATTCATATGCCTGGTACGAATGACTGTTTCATTGTAAACAGCACACAATGTTAATGAGTTTGACAACTACTGCCTTCTACTTCGTATTTTATAATACACATACATGTGGGTTCTTATGCTTCTTACCCCAACTTTACAAAATGCAAATATACGTATGAGATGCGAAACAAAAATTAATGAGCGTGCCACATTTTGAAAACAAGTTGTGGATTTTCTTCTTAAAAGGTCAAGCAGTGAACAACGGACTTGGATTTGCTGCTTGAACTGTCAGCTGGTGATATAACTTGAAGTCCAGAACAAAACTGACTTATGTAAGTGATATTCATCTAATTATGCAATACCCCAAACTAAACCAAGCATTTTTGTCTTGCTAAGTACAGTTTAAAAATAAACAGCCTAAACATGAGATCTCTGTTGGGCCAAGCATACCCAAGAATTCACACCATCAGCTAGAAACTAACAGAGTTCTACTTAAAATGCTGTGATTTACACTAGGGATTTTGAGTAAATTTAATTTGTTTCCTACATTTCAGCAGAGTATGTTAAGAGCAAATGAATTCTCTCAGCATAAAACAGTAAAACAATGAAGAACAAATGAGTTAAGCCATCTTCATAAATCAATTCAAGCTAAAATATGTGCTAATCCAAATTTGCACTCCGGTTAGATATTATCATATGAGTACATTCAGCAATTTTAATTTAAACTGCCTGCAGTTAAACAGAAAAGGGCAGCAAATCAAGGCCACTGTCATCATTCACATTTGCTATTGCAGCATCACATCTGTAAAGAAAAAATGGCAGAGCTGCCCCAAACAATGTTCACTAGGTCTTCTAAAATGCTACCCTTTATCCTCTTACACGATTCACTTATTGTGTGACACTGATTGAACATATGCAGTCCTCATGTTTGTGAGGAAAAATAAGAGAGGAAAATCTTTCCAGATTTACAGAGTCCAACAACTTCATAAGTTTTCCATTTACCTTTAAAATAAAATAGAATCATGGGGAATTACTAATAGCTGGCTCTCTAAAGGGTAGGAAGGTAATCTGAATATGCCTGAGACGTTCACTCAAAAGTTCACTCCATGTTTTCAAATTCAGATCTCTCACTAGATTGGATTGGAAGTGCTGTAAAAATTGCTTATTCTCTTGTTATTTCATTACTTCCACAACTCTTCCCAAGTCAATCTTCTAATCATTGAAAAGCATTAAAAGACAAGGATTATTTCAATTTCTTCAGTTACATAATTGTTTTAGCCCACTAGAATCCTTATGTTCTGCAAAGACCATATTTCTGCACAGAAAAATATTTCCGTTGTTGATAATGGATATTTCACTTATTAGCTGCTATGCCCATTTAACAAACTATTTTTACTAACAAATTAATAAAGATAGCTGTAAGATTTTTTAATGAAACTTTATCTCACCAAGATTTTTTTGAAACATTGGCTGAATATTCAACAGAAACGGTGTTCCGAGGCTGAGTTTAGACCCTCAGGTCAATTCAACAGCATGACAGGGACAGAAACTGAAATCAGAAACCTTAACTTTTCAGTCTGAAAGTGGAAATCTTGATAATTTCCCTAGATGCAAGTAAAATTCCATAAAGAAGCCTGAAGGTTGCCCGCCAAACAGAACTATGCACCTCCAGTTAGCTCGACAATTAATTGCCTATCTCAGAAAATTACTTAGATGGGTCCTTCTTATTCAGGGATACACCCCTCTAAAAATGTCACTAAATCGGGTACTGTTCTGGGAGCGCAATCACATTTTAACCCAAATGAAGAGTTAAAGAGATATTTTACAGAAGAGGGTAGAAGTATCATCCCCATCTTACAGACAAATGCATATAGGTGGATTAAGTAACATTTTCATGGTAATTCAGCAAGCTTGTGACAGATCTGTATCTATAGCCATGTTTCGACATGTGTGCTATAGTCTGTCAACCCCACTTCTTCACTACAGAATAATCTTTGAAAGAAATTACATTTCCAGAGAAGGAAAATCTGAGAAATCTCTCTTACCTGGCAAAAAATGATGCTGCCACCGAGGTGCCTGTGGATACTTCACTGGCAACATATGTGCTCTGGGAAGCAGGGAAGCTGTACAAGGAGGGTTTATCTGCATTGTAGTGGTTCAATGCTGCTTCAGTCAGGCCCTCTCGACTAGTCTCTGTCATAAGCTGAGATATCTGAAGACAGAAAAAAACAAGTGTCATCAGCTAAAGCTCGCTAGCTGACCCCTCCTCATCCAGAAGTGCCTCTGGGTTGCAGATGGAGTAAGAGGCATTTCATTCACTACATCTTTGCTGCTCTGTGAACAAGTTTATTGCTTCTGTCATGCTAATCTACAGTACTTAGGCTCAGCTCTAACCTTGTCTGCATTAAAACTAATGGGATAAATTCATCCTGTCACTAGAAATGTCAATAATGTCTATGGATTTCCATCCATATGGAAAAGAAAGAGTAAGCCATAATCCTTGCTCGGTTTTACCTCAGGGTACAAGAGAGACAGCTTAGAGATGTGTAAGATATTTATATTTTACTTCAGGAAAAAAGTACATTTGTTTGACTTTGTAAAATAACACAGCACTAGTGTATTAAATATTTTTGTTGACCTTTCTCCAGAAAAGCCAGCACGCAGCACAGGAAGGAGTCCCTTGGGATCCTAGACCATTTATCATCTCTCTGGAAAATTGGGATCATTACCACTCACTTTCATTGGCTTTCTTAAAAGGTTTTAAACATCCCATGATTTCATTCTTCTGATGGCCCATTTAACATTTTTCCCCGTTAGGAAGCCTCATTTCAGCCTTTCATTGCCTGAGAAAAGAAATGGAGTTCAACCAGACTTGACCTAGCTCTCCTCAAATTAACTGAAAGATCTTTATTGACTTCAGAGAAAGCTGGGTCAGCCCTATTGAAGCACCCCCTCAAAACTTTGATTTCAGTTTCTTGACTATTACTTCTGCATGAATTTACAATGGTGTGATGTCATCTATTGTACTTCATGCAATTCTTAACAACTTCCCTTTCCTCCTTCCTTCATTTCAACCACAAATGGCTTTTGTTCACCAATGCATGTCACAAAATTGCAACATATGCCTGAAAAGAACCCTCCCAAATTACTGCTAGCAATTGGCCAAGGCATTGCTTCCTTCCCCCAGCAAAAAGTTTGCAAGAACCAGTCTCTCACCTGTTCAATTTCAGTTCTCATGCCTATCCTTATCACCACAGTAACAACAGAACATCTTTGTGAGGCACATCAAGAAAAGTACTTGAGATCATCCTGTAGCTCTTTTTCCACTTAGGCTTGCTTTATTTCAGCTGTTAAACATTTCAGTTATTAAAGGCTAAGTTGAAGAACTGTGATTTGTATTTGAGAGGGGAAAAGGCATGTGATATGGCAATATTTTTTAGACCAACTAAAACCAAGCCACTTCTGTTTCTTCTGTAGAGAATTGTTACCCATTCTACTATGGCTAAGAAGATAACCTAAGAGTTTATCCCTATTTTACATTGTTAAAATGTTTAACATTCTGTTAAAACACAAGAATTTAGGCTGGCTGCCAGGATACCTCCCTACATTTCCAGTGTGCAGGTAAACGGACATTTGTTCTTCAGTGTTCTGCTAAGCTATGTATGTCCACTGGGGGCGTCCAATACACTTGAATTCACTAAACAATAATTTCCTCAAGTTTTCCATAATTTTTGCTAACTCAGATACTTACATTTGCAGTGAACTAGCACAAGATTCTGCCCTATCCCCTCAAATTATCCTGAAACCAGTTTCATCATCTACCATGTTGGGAACTGCTAAGCAGACAGATTTAAAAAGCTCTCCCTTCGGAGCAGAGTACATTTATAAACCTAACCTCATCTTAGTCTATCCAATTCATATACCTGAAATCAGGGATGGAGCATCACTAATCAATTGCCATTGCTGACAGCGTCACCAGGAAGTGCTACTCACTTCCATGGCAACCAGACAGCAGTTAAGAAGTTGATGAGTTGACTTATCTCAACTGCAATCTCAATTGCAATCATAACCTCCTCATCTTCTGCCAAATAAAGATTTGCAGCTCCAAATATTAATTTCCACAGCCAGTGCAGCACACTTCTATTGGTGTCAGATCCCCTGAAGTTGCAAGATGGTGAGACTTCAGAGAGGCATTTCAGCCAACTGCAAAACAGTAAAGGATTTATGTGTCTCGGTGTTTGGGACACCCAGAAAACATCCATCATGACGTGGGCATAAAAGCCGTAACTAAATGGTTTCTGCGATTGTAGAGACTTTCAGGTGATCCATGCCCATATCCACAAGTGCTATTAATGTGAACAGCACAGAGCAAACAGAGCAATAAAAAGCCTCAAACTGATTGCAGACATTTCCTGAAAGGTATTACTCTCAAGCTTCCGCAAAAGCTGATTAGATGCTTGGCTCATGAGCTTTTGAATAACTAGTTCTTAAATACAAGCACTCCAAAATAATCAAATACTCACTCACTTACCAAAGAGACATGAGATTTTTTTTTAGAAAGATATAAATATAACCCATTCCCCCTCACCTATGCACTCAGAAAGAAATAGATATTAGTCAGCAAATGGAATGTTAATGCTTTTTAATAAATGGGGATGAAGATCTTACAAAGCCTGTCTTTAGGTCACGTTTTCTTATAGTAAAATGCAAAGGAACTGAACTAGAAGCTGGAAATAATCAAACATATTTACAAATTCTGTATTTGTGGAGTACCACACTAAGCATAGGACAGAGAGAGAAGAGAGATAAGTAATATTCATTTTAGGAATTGCATATACTATGGACAAATGCAGAATGGGATTGTTTTATATAAAAGTAGGCTCTTCAGTGGTACTGCTATTTTATCATGTGTCCTACACAACAGTCCAAGTACTACAGGGATGGTCAGCTGCTCAAACTGCAAGCTGCAAACATCTGCGTGGTACTGACCACCAGAGCTTGCTGGAGAGGCAGCAGCTCTCCTTCCTGTTCATTCACACAGCTTGCTTTGTTGCAGAAAACAGGAAGCTACTGTTGACATTGATATTGATGTATTATCTGTGAAAAGCAGCATTCCAGTTTAAACAGCCGTGTCAGAGAGCTGTCCCAAAGCTGCCCTGGATGGACACTCATAATGGGGCATGTTGGGCTCGTTGAGCACCTTCTTGGTCCTAAGGGTCCAGCATCACCGCCTGGTTTCCTTACCCACGCTGGCACACTTCCTGGGCAAAAATCCATCTCTCAGCATGAGCCCTCTCAGAACTAAACTTTCAAATGCACATACTGTCTGTCCTTGAGCTCCATTGATTTACTGCTTGCCTCAGCAGGGGCACTTTTTAGTTGACAGTGTATTACAAGAATACCAAAATGGAAACATACTTTATTTTACCTAACACAAGACATAGACAAATTAAGACAAAATAAGAACTGGCTTAAGCCACAGTCCAGGAATGGTTTCCAGTTTTAGCACTTGCTTACTTTGTCTGCCGAAGTGGGATTTTTCAACAGTGGAATGTCTCCAGAAGCAATGAAAGCTGAAATATTTCCCTGAATTTCAAACATTCTACTATTCCTTATCTGGGAAGCCTGCAACACCACTTGATTTTATACAGGTCAAAGCCCACAAAGTACCTTGAGATGCTGCAACAACCTCAAGCAGAACATCAAGTTTTGCTTGAACTAGTTCCTCAAGTCACTCTGTTGCTATCTTTTCCTTATATCAAAGCAAGAACAGAAAAACAAACTAGAACTTGGTATTTAATTATGGAATTGTCCCTTTGGTCATGCAGCCAGAGGAGATGAAGAGCTATGCCAAATTCTGGGCCAGGCTTGGAGCCTTTTTTGTGTCCAGTACTTATCAGAGTATTGCTTATACTGCATAAATTTGTACATCTGGGTCAATCCACAGGCTGAGAACCTCACTAGACACCTAGACACATGCCCACAATATTTTACTAATAAATCCTCATTTATTCCCAGAGTTCAATACATATACATAAAGTACTGGGCAGAAAAAAGTCCAGATAATTAATATATCCAGAAACTACTCACTTCAAGTCAGTTCTATTGCATTTCTTTCTTTTGCCTCATAGATTTGAGAGTGCAGAAATCATTTAAACTATTATACCAAACTGAAGAGTGGGCTTTGGAGGTAATCTTATCATCTCATTTACTTTGTTCTCCAGTCAGTACCAAATTATCCCTCTCTCCTCTGACATTGCTCGCTGAATTTCACACATACAACAAACTCGAGTAAAGGCACCCAGGACATATCAAGCATTTAAGGAAAAATACTCATAGAACAGTCATTTCCAAAGCTCTTAGAGATTTTTTTTTCCCCCATCCCAGTTCAAAAGACATAGTTGAAAAATCACACTTTGAACATTAACAAACTCGGGCTTTTTTTTTTTTTTTTTTTGGCCTTCCCACCCCCCAATCATGTATGCCTGGCAAGTACAGTTCATGTAAATCTGCCTCTTCAGTGTCACTGTGTCTCTCACTAGATACTGTTTCTGGATTTAATGGGGAAAAGAAGAATAGATTCCTCCATTTTCTTTCCCTTCTCTTCTGTGAGTACCCACATACCACATACATGAGCTTTAAGATTGGTTAATAGGATATATTTTGAGACATTCCTTTGTTGAATTGTTGGCAGCACATCACTGCCTGGATAAGCAACAAAAAGACAAAGCATGGAACAACGCAACCTTTCATGCCTCAATAAAAACCTTTTAAGCGCACATGGAACAAGACAGATGTCCCTCCCAAGGCCCCATTTTTTCCTCCTGTCTCATAAAAGCAAGGCATCCATTAATCTCCTCTTTCACTGCTTTCCAACAGTATACAGCAAGAGCTGGAGATAAGTCATGATTTAAATTCTCTACTTCATAGGAAAAAGATGGCTCTACAATTGAACCACAGGTGTCAGCCAGGCTAGATTCTCTTCCTATTCCAATTAAAGAGTCACTGTGTGCATAAGACTTGCCATCATGCAGTATGAGGTTAATTATATTTACGTAAGGGCACTTTACAGCCAAGCTCATTAATGTTTCTAAAGCTCCTAACTGAGGACTCCCAGCTGAAGTTACTGTACAAATGGAAGTTAGCATTTATGAACAATGTGAAACATCCTTTGCTCTGGAGGTAGTGAAGCATTCAGGAACATCCCCAAAA